ACCAATGGATAAAATGGTGTGGACTATAATGAAGTCTCATGAGCATGAGAGTGAGAATCAAGTCCTCCCAGTGGAGCATGGAGAGGAGGTAGAGGAGAATGTTTGTGATGATCATGGTGAGGAGATTTTATCTATCTTACCGATGGTTTTTACAAGGGACACTTTTAATGATTTAACTATGGAAAGTTTCAATCCAGATTTTAAGTATTTAAGTACATTTGATGATCCATATGTTAGCGAATCGGGATATCTTAATGCTCATTTAGTTAATGGGTCTAGTTTTTTAAATAGTTTTAGACCAAGTACTGATTTTAATAGGGATCATAATAAGGATCTTAACAGTACTGGTAGTAATATAAATATATTAGAAAGTAGTTCGTGGAAGGATGGGGTTTTTTATTTAGAGTATCCAGTTGATAGTTTTAATTGTCCAATATGTCCCCAGATATTACCAACATTTGGTAAATGGGCCAAACACATTAATGTGGTTCATAAAAGTAAAGCCATACGAGTTGTATGTAGTAAATGTGGAAAATCTTCTCAATATCATAATATAGCTTGCCACTACCCCAAGTGCATACCCAAGAAGGCGGATACCCCAATGAAGAGCCATACGTGCTCGGTCTGTGGGCTTGGTTTTCATACTAGATCTGGATTGAGCCAACACTGTAGACATAGACACCCTGCTGTGAGGAATGAGCAAAGAAAAGAAGATATGGCTGCTAAAAGTAAGATCAAAGAGGGATCGACTAGATCTCGTATATGGACCAAAGATGAGGTTGCGCAGCTTATACAGTTGGAAAGGAAATATATTGGGAAAAGGAATATAAATAAATGTATTGAGAGCGAGATGAGGACCAAAACAAATAAACAAATATCAGATAAAAGACGAGAATTAGCAAAGAAGAAGTTAGTGGTAACAGGAGATAGGGAGGAAGTGACTGAGGTAGAGGACATTAGAGTAAATATATTAGAAATTCCGCCCCCAAGAGAGAGGATTTTCCCACTAAAAGGACATCCAGAAGTGGATTTAGTGGAGAAAATATGTAAACGGGGAAAACAAAGTAGGGAAGGAAGAGAAATAATAAATAGTTTAGGGGAAATTGAAGGATTATTAAAGGAGGATTTAACAAAAGCTCTCGGATGGGCAATGTTGGAAAAATTATGTTATTCATTAGTAGAGGGAAAGGACCCTAGAAATGAAAGTCAAATAGAGTTGAGGAATAAAGGAAAAGGGAAGATGAGAAAGGAGGGGAGAAGGAAGCAATTTAATGCAATTAGGAGATATGCTACAAAGAAAGCGAAGTATAAATTCTATCAACAATTATTTGATAAGGATAGAAGAAGATTGACTCGCATTATAATGGGAGAGCCAGATAAGGCTAAGTGTGCTATCCCTATGAAAGAAATTGAGGAATACTATGTGAATATTTTGGGAACAATTGGACATGGTAATATGATAGGGTGGCCATCATCCACAGAGAATGCGGATAATGATATATTAATGAGTCCGATCTCTGTGGATGAGATTAGAATAGCTTTAAGAGAAATAAGAAAAGATAGTGCTCCTGGCCCAGATAAAGTAAAAGTGAGCAATTTGTGGGATATTTTTAATTTAGACTCCTTAATACTTACAAAAATTTTTAATATATGGTTTCTAAATAGACAGGTACCAGATGAATTTAAGAAAAATAGAACGATTTTAATACCAAAGACACAAGATGAGGAGGAAATGAAGAAGTTAACATCTTGGAGACCATTGACAATTGGGTCAGTTTGGATTAGAATCTATACCAAAATATTAGCAAAAAGACTGGTGGAAACAGTTAAGATATGTAGTAGACAAAAAGGGTTTATATCCGCCCCTGGGTGTGAGGAAAATATTGCTATATTAGATAATTTGATTAAAGGGGCTAAACGAAATGGGAATGAAATTGCAATAGTGTTCGTAGATCTGGCTAAAGCATTTGATTCTGTGGGACACGGACATATAATAGCCGGGTTGAGAAGATTTGGTATAGATGAACATTTTATAGATATTATTAGGGACCTTTATGATAATTGCACAACTAGGGTATGGGTGGGTGATGAAGCTACTGAGTCTATTTTAATTAGGAGGGGGGTCAAGCAGGGTGACTCGTTGTCCCCAATTTTGTTTAATATTGCTATGGATCCCCTTTTAACTAGATTAGAAGTAGAAGGAAGTGGTTTTTATGTTAAGGGTAATGGTGTCACGTCATTGGCTTTTGCCGATGATGTGGCAATTTTAAGTAGCTCATATAAAGGAATGATTAAAAATTTGGGTATCTTAGAGGAGTTTTGTAAAAATACTAATCTCTCTGTTAATGTGAAGAAAACGAAAGGCTTTCATATTTTAACTAAACATAAAACCTATGTAGTTGATCCTAAGGATAATTGGCAGATAGGGTCAGAGGAGATTGAATATGTTCAACCAGGGGATTTTGAAAAATATTTAGGGGCTAGAATAGATCCCTGGATAGGTGTAGGGGTACCGGTACTTAAAGAAAAATTGAAAGATTGGAGTGAGAATTTAATTAAGGCCCCATTAAAACCGGCCCAAAAATATTAATTTTACAGACATATATCTTACCGAAGCTATTTTATAATCTTCTTTTAATAGAACCCCCTTTTAATCTTTTAGACGATCTTGATGTGTTAGTTAGAAAAATAGTTAAAGAGATTTTACATTTACCTCAGTGTACCACAGATGGGATATTTTATTCTAGAGGTAGGGATGGTGGTTTAGCTCTCACTAAGTTTAGTGTGCAAATCCCAAATATGTTAATTCGTAAATAGAGGAGACATATTGTCTCGAGAGATGATTGGATGGACCTATCTTATCTATATGCAGGAGAAAATCTTGTGGATAAAATATTGTCATTTAGTGCAGTAACATCTCATCCCAAGAAATGGAGGGAAGAGGAATTTTTAAGATGGTCGGAACTGAGATGTCAGGGAATAGGGATAAAATATTTTTAAAATGATTTAATTAGTAATTCGATTTTTAGAAACTCTAGTAAAGTTAAATCGTCAGCATATATCGCAGCATTGCAGCTTAGGGCAAATATTTATCCTACTAGGGAGACATTAGCAAGAGGAAGAGGAGGTGTGAATGCTCTTTGTAGATGGTGCGGTAAAGTGCGGGAGACTGTTCCCCATATCTCAGGACAATGTTATAAGACTAAGAATGCTAGGATCAAAAGGCATAATAGAGTAGTGTCTGCAGTTGTAGATAAGGTTGGTAAATTAGGGTGGAAGGCAATGATAGAGCCCCATTTGAGAAATAGTAAGGGTGAGTTAAGAAAGCCGGATATTATATTTATAAAAGGAGATACAGCAGTGGTGGTTGATGTTACAGTGCGATGGGAGGATAATGCCGGAAGTTTGGAACAAGCCCACAGTGAGAAGGTGGCTTATTATCTTGAGTTAGAGGAAGAAATTAAAAACTTAACGGGAGGTAAAAATATTCACTTCTTTGGTTTTGTGCTTGGGGCGCGTGGCAAGTGGAGTGAAGGTAATAATGATTTGTTACAATTATTGGGAATGGACAGAAGTAAAAATTTTAAGGAGAGTATATGTAGACTTGTTTTATATTCCACTATTGGTATGATGGCTATATTCAGTGACAGGTAAAGATCCCGGAGTTTCCATTCCGTGTATCTTGCCAAAACTAAATTTTAGCTATTTTGGTTTCCATGCTCTAAATTTTCAAATTTTTAATATTGTTTTGAACATTAACTTATTTAGTGTTATTTAATATCTGTCCTTCAATAGAATGGTTTTAATTATATAATAAATACTTATTAATGGATGAAATTCCAATTTAAATTATTAGTTTATTTATTTATTTATTTATTTTAACTACTGGATGTGGATGCGGACTGGCCGCGTATAATAACCAGGAAAGGGCAGGTAGTCACGCCTGTACATAAATAGGGGGTGGAGTCCTGGGGGGCAGTTAGGGGCAGGGGTCCCAGGAGGGGGCAGTCAGGGGACAAGGAATGGGGGGAGGGTTGGGGGTTCTGAGGGGGGCGGGAAGTGGGAGGGGCAAGGGTAGGGCTAGGGCGGGGCTCCTCCCGTCCTCTTTTTTGCTTGCTGAAATATGGTAACCCTAAAATACAAGGAAGTTTCTACAAGCGTACCATGTCCAGCCAGATTCCTTTCCTTGCTACTGTTGAAATTACAAGTCTTGTACTGCCTCACACCAAGCACAATACAAAGACAAATTATATTTAACAAAATATCTCTTCTAAATTCACATTTACTAGAGCAGGAAAGACTGGGTCAGGAATTTGTATTCACCGTTAAGCACACTAGAAATAAGAGTTTTTTCACGGCTTTGAAATGAATAGTTTCTTGAGTGAATCATCATTTTTGGGATTTGCAAGAAGGCTGAAGAAGGATGTGCTCAGCTTGATGTAAAGAAAGAAAGAGCGAGAGAGACACTCACTCACTTTCAGCTCTTTAAAGTGGTGGTTTCCACATTACACTCAAGCAGAAGAGACCATATGCAAAAGTAAAACCTCCTTTAGACCATTTTTTTTAAAATGCCCAAGTAATTTCCTCCTCCCAACCAGCCTTTTCACTGGATCTTGATAATGTTGTGTTTGTGCTGCCAGCCTATTGCTGTGGAAATTATTCTGATGTCACAAATTCAATGCTTCAGTTTCATTGAAAGATCAAACATGATGGTGAGCTGACATGCAGTGTTCAATTTGAGGTAGCAATGGGCCTGCACTGCAGTTTTTAAAAACTCTACAAGTCAGGAATGTTCTGGTTTTTTTTTATATAGATTGCACATTAAAATTCAGAAACAGGATTCATTTTGGATCCTGCATGCTCTTCTCCCCTTCCACCCTGCCCCAAATAAAAAATTAAGGTGTTAGGCCCAAACCATGTGAGCTGATCAGTAACTTAAACAGAACTATCCTTCAACTGTTGGCAAGGGTGACAAGAAAAGTTTGACGAGACAAATGAAATGTAATTTCATTCATGTTTTAATTCTGATGTTCTGGAAAGTCTCCATTACAGTGAAAGCCCCACCTTTAGAACTAGGTGTGTTTGGACCCAGCCCCACAATACTGAGTTGAATATATGCCGCTATGGTTTATTTTCAATATTCATCATTGAAGGGATACTCCGGATGGTCACGCCACCTGTGAAGAGAATTCAGATAAAGAGTCTTCACTACAAAAGCTATTACATATGGCAACACTGGGCACTGGTACTATTTATACAGTGCCTAGCACAACAGGCTCCAGACCTGGTTGAGGTCTCTGCCTGCTACTATAATAAAGTGCTACTAGTGGTAACCCAAATAGGCTTAAGAAAAGAAGATAGTTGGTAAGCTTCAAATGTTAGCTGAAGGACTCTACTGAGTGAAAGTGATCAAAAGCTGTGCATTGACCTACATGAAGAGTTCTGGGGCAGGATGTGTGTGTTAGTTAAGTTCCGTGTGGACTCGTATTCATACCACAAAAGTCAGCACTGGCACTGTGACAGCTTTGTGGGTAGACTCAGGAAGCCAGAGACTTACCAGGCGTGGGAAAAAAGAGGTGGTCCCCTCCAGGTCAGATACAAGGCACATTAGTGTAGGGCAGATTAGGGCAAGCTTTCCCTGCCTTGTTGCTAGAGACTTCAGACCTATGTTAAACCCTCTTCATGCAAAACATTCTACACAGGTTTCAGAAAATAGGGGTAAATCTGCAGGTTTTCCTACTTCTGCAGGGGAAAAAAATGCCACTGTTTGTTTGATGGATGCCATATGGCTAGAATGCACCTCAGCTGGAGTCCCAGTACTGGCTAAACTTGGAGGAAAGTCAGAAACAGCAGCTCTGAAAAAAGATTCATTTCTTTAGCTCAAGTTGTTTGAGCTGGCATGGATGGGTCTGCTCTGGCTTGGCCTTTTCCCCCCCCATGAGTCTTTTGCATCCGAGCTACTCCTGGCTGTCCCGTTTAATTAAATTGCAGTGACTCAGCATGGGTGTGGGTACCCTGGTTAGTTATTTAAAAGCATTCATTTTGGAGTGGTCACAAGGAGCCTTTGAATAACCTAACTAAGGTGTGGGGAAGTTCATGTATGTTAATGCAATTGTTTTATGTCCATCTGACTGCAGACTCAATTGCAAGACTTCAGACTCCATATAAATGGTGTATGTCTAGGAAAAGTAAAGATCTAGGAATGCCATAAAATGCAGACACGTTCCCAGAGCCAAATGCAGGCAAGTACAAATGTCTTCCATATTTCCCTCTTTAGTCCCAGAAAACCTGGAGGTTACACAACACTCCAGTCTTCTGGCTAACTAAACCGATATTATAGGTGGTTTCTGAAATAAAGTAGGTTATAATGAAGATGTAGGCCAGCGCTTCCTGTCAGTAAAAATAACTGGTTGTGTGAAACACTGCTGAGTCCATCATGGCAGCTGTGTTATTTACCTGCACCATTAGTGTATTACCAGTAAAGCTGGATAAAAACTGGAATTTGTCCCATGGGAAGTGATAATTGACTTTTTTCCTTCCGAATTAAGGATGAAATTTGCAGAATGGAAAGTTTCAAACATTTCCATTTAGGGTGACCAGACAGCAAGTGTGAAAAATCGGGACAGGGGGTGGGAGGGTAATAGGAGCCTATATAAGAAAAAGATCCAAAAATTGGGACTGTCCCTATAAAATTGGGACATCTGGTCACCCTATTTCAATTCAGTAATGTGAAGACATTTTGTTTGGACATTTTCAACCAAAATGAAACATTGACATTCCCAGATTGAAAAAACTAGTTTGTTGAACCAAATCAAGATGTTTTGTTTCAGCTTGGGTTGCATTAATCTGTGTCCCTGAGTAGCCATAGTGCTTCATGTTTCCATTTTTTTCTGGGCTAGGCTCCCCACACCTCATGATATACTGTGGTCATGCTGCACTGCTACTGGTTCAACAAAAGTGGAGACAGTGCATCATGGGAGATGTAGTCCAGCCAAGAAGCCTAGCTCACAGGGATGTGGCGGGATGAGGCACATGAACTTCAACTCCCATGAGGCACTATGGCACATCACGCTGACATAGATCAGCTGACCTGAAACATTTAGATTTCCCACTGGAAAAACAAAAACAAAATTCAACAAAATCAGAGTTTTTCTGAAGAGAGTTTAGATTTCAGACACTGCATTGTTTGTCAAACATGTTGGTGTAAAATTCCACTGCAGTTAGCATTATCTTATTAGTTACCAAGGCTTACTCATGTTATCAAAATGAAATGTACTTGTACACAACTCTATTCTAGTTTATAGCTGGAAAAAACACAGGAAGGTCAAAAACGTTCATTCATACCTGCAATAGTGGAATATTTCGCCACAAGTACATCAAGCAAAAAGTATATTTTCATGTTACTGTTTGACCTTTTCACACAGGAATTAACAGGCTGGATCAGACCAGACAATGTCCCATCTGACGGGGGCTGATCCAGATGCTTAATAGAGTGTTCTAACACATTCTTAAGCAGACCTAGTGTCATCTGCCCCACACAAATTAGGCAAAATTGTGTTCTAAAAATTTGAGATATGCTTCACTGTTTAAGCCAAAGGCTTAACATCTCCACCCAAAAGCTGATAATTATGACAACTCTCTATATTTTAGTTATCCATATAAAGTGTCCACTCCCTTTTTGAGTCTTGCTAAGTTTTTCGCCTCATTGACTTCCTGTGGCAATGAATCCCACAGGCTAATGATGTGTTATGTGAAAGTATTTCCTTTATTAGTTTTGAATTTACCACCTTTAAACTTAATTGAATGTCCTCCCTCTTCTCAACATTCTCCCCCTTCCCCATGGGCATCGAACTTCCCTACACGAAGATATTTATGAATTCTAGCCAAGATTCACTTGTCACAAGCAGAGTCTGAATTATAAATTAGAAATAGCTGCAGGTTAGGAATTTTAGCTAAGAAATCCGAACAATTTCTAGTATCAAGTACATGATAATTTTAGACAATTTTTAAATAGAAAAAGACAATCATTAAAAACATATTGCAAGTTGATCACTTGGCTATCCCCAGATTCACGGAATGAATAAACAAACAGTAATTATAGATTAGAAGCACCTTGCTGAGATTTTAGTGCATCTTCAACCTAATTAACCTTTCCTATTGTGTATAGTCCATCACCTTTTAGGTAGCTAGGTAAACTGGTCCATTTGTTCCTGGTAGACTTTTCTAACCATAGATAAAGGCAGGGGGAAAAAAGCTATTAATGCTCTAGAGATGCTGCAATCCTAGAATTTTTAGAGCTTTTGTCCCAGCACAGTCATCAGGAGACAAGAGAGCTAATCCAAGAAGGTGGAGAGGGATACACCAAAATTAATGCCTTTGTTGCTTTAGGTTACACAGTGAGTGTCCTGAAAAGGGGCCAACATACAGTATAGCCATAGGCTGGACATGCTTTTGTACTAGAAGGAGGATAGTCTCATGCTCAGCCCACTTGGCGCCCTGAGAGAAGTGTACCATGCAGCTGCAGCAATACCGCCTTGGGTGGTGAACTTCAGCTCACAAGATAAACATAGTCAGGCCTGGTCAGCAGTTGGATGGGAACTGCAGGAAGTGGTTTTTGTGGTTCAGACAGTTACATTCTCTCTTTCTTTCCGCTTGGATTCAGAGGAAAGTGTGACTTAGCATGGCTCTAGGGGTGATGCTGGCGGTTCCTGAGTTAGTAAACTTCCAAAAAGCCTTAAAAACTAAACTCCTGGCTGCCTGTCATTAAGATAAAACACTTTGCAAGAGTAGGGCGAATTTTAGTGTCCTGGACAAATTCTAGGGTTTGAGTGATTATATTAGACTTTCCTACATTTCTTGGGTAGTTTCAGATTAAAATATTGTTCCTTTTTACCTGTGGTGCTAAACAGCTGTATTGTGCCGCCGTATGCAGTTAAGCCACTATAGTGTTGCACCTCAGAGGTGAGAGCACTTCAGAAGGGGACACTGTCAAGTGCTTTAGGATGCTTCAGGATCAAAGGCACTGCGCAAATGTCAAGTGATAGCACTATGCACATGATAGGAATTTGAGATTCAGCTCCAGCATTCACTTGTGACAGATAACACTATCCTGGACGATTTATGGAATTAAGATAAATGTTATTGAATTAAATTAATGCCTTTGGGGTCCATTGTATTAAAAATGCCTTATTTATGTGTTATTGCGGAATTGTATGCAACTTCTCTAGGAGATGTGATTAATGCAATCTCTGAGAAGCATTAGGAATTTCAACAGGACTTCTCAGGAGAACATATGTTAAGCAGATTTCTTAGAAAATACTTCATGTGAAGGGAATGACAGTGACTCACGCCCCTTTTGAAGTTTTGGCTTGGGCAGAAAACCATTGTCTGGCTGATTAGGTAATCGCAATGTCCTGAAAGACCCAAACTGGGTAAATGATGATTCCATGTCACAAAGGTGCTTGTTCTGAGCGGAAGCTGTTATGAATTTGTGACCACAGGAAAAAGCTGTGTAGGGTTTGAATGACTAAATCACTAACAAGAGCCCATGGTGAAGCTGGGGTGACCGCTGATAAGGTAAAGAAATTATGTGCATGCTGACTAGCTTAAGAATTAAGTGTGCTTGCTTAGAAATAGCTGTGTGGTAGCTGAACTGTGGCAATTACACCGTGTACCATCTCTGAAGAGAAGGCAAAACAGCTTGCTTAGGCAGCCTGCATTTTGTTGGGGATAATCACAAGGAAGGCAGGAGACTATTCAGCGTAGAAATATCCCAGTTAGAAGGGAGAGACAAAAGCACGTGTTTCCATCCAAAAGAGGCAACATGTGGGGAGCCGGAAGCCTAAGAATGGATGCCCTTAATGCACCACTAAGGGGAAATACAGGTGCAGTTACCTTGAACTGTGACACCGCTCATATGAGGAAAGCAATGGCGGTGCAGCAGAGTCAAGAGAGAGTACTCCACTCCTAGGAGTGGTGAGACAGTGACAATTGTTGAGCAATTCCTTTTACTGAGTGATCTCCACAGTATGCTCCTTAGCTGCCTGGGACAGTCACCACCACTTGAGGAAAGAGGAGAGAGTTTTAAAACAGAGATGGAACTGAGCCAACCACCACCTACAAGCCCCTTGACCTAGGAGGCTGTTCAGACTCTGAACCATATGCAAATATTGCAAGTTTTGAAGTTTTACAAGTCAGCTTATGTGCCGAACCACTAGACTTAAACCCCCCTTCGCTTTGGTGTTTGAAATTCAGATGCTCTTTTGTCACCCTGAGATAATCTCTTGAAATAAGGTAGATGTGATTGTGGATGGAAGTGTGGGCATGGCAGGGTTTACATTAAGAACCCAGCACTGTTCAAGAGCCTCCATTCACTTGCTATAGGGCTGGGATTCAGCATGGACTTACATCAGCAACTCCACGTAACGGGTGTTTTTATTCAGGGCTTCAATGTCCTTCATTTCTTTATCAGTGAGTGAGAAGTCAAAAATCTAGGGGAAAAGAAGATATTAGGATTAATCTGTAGCAAGGGAGATTTAAGTTAGATATTAGGGAAAACTTAACCATATGGGTAGTTAAGCTCTGGAATAGGCTTCCAAGGGAGGTTGTGGAATCCCCATCACTGGAAGTTTTAAAAACAGGTCGGACAAAACACTTGTCAGGGATGGTCCAGGTTTATTTGGTCCTGCCTTAGCACAGAGGGCTGGACTTGACCTCTTGAGATCCCTTCCAGCCCTACATTTCTATGAAATTTCAACTAGTTTGCAGAAACAAATGCAAAAGTCCTTGCGCATTTTAACTAAATATGAAAGCCGAATTCTGGAATTCAAGGACAGAATGGCAATTCTGCTAACTCCTTTGGACCATTGGTTTCTTAAGGGAGAGACACTGCCTAGAAAAGGGGGAACAATAAGGAGACACACATTTAGGAAAAGTTGCAAACCTTCCTACCATGTAGGCAGAAGGGTACACAACACCTCCTCTTCTGTGTCTGGCTATCAAGGAACTACAACCCATGGCTGGGAATAGAGGACACAAGTTGCACACACGTTTAGTGTCATTAAAACGGCTAAAACTAATAACTACTGATCTATATTCAGTGTTTACTTGCTCTCTCACTGTTGCACTACTCAGGCGAGAGCACTAGTGTAGACTGGCTGCTGGAGTTTTAGTCTACTCAGAATAGGTCTAGATGATACTGTAGAAGAGTCCAGTGTCCTGTCCATACTAGCTTCCCCTCTACTGCACCATCACCAGGTGATAGAAATGATGGTTAGTAAGAGAGTCAACATAGGAAAGGTTTATGGGTTGTTAAGCCTCCTCTCTGCCTCAGGAGAGAAGGGGAAGACACTCTAAGCAGGGGTCAGCAATATCCGTGGAGCAGAGATGAATCTATAACTTGCCTGGAAGTTTTCTTTGATCCGCTGTGCATGGAAGCTTTTGGGAATGACCACCACCCCTCGTTGGATGCTGAAACGCAGAGCAACCTGTGCTGCCGTCTTGTTGTATTTTTCCCCAATGGCATTCAGCACAGGGTCCTTCAGTAAAGGAGGGGAAGACACATTTACCCTTGAATTAAAAAAAAAAAAAAAAAAAGTGGGTTTTATTTTGATTCTGGAGTATTTAAAGAAAGTGGCAGAAAGCAGAAATCCAAAGCAAAGACGGATTCGGACAATCTATTATGAAATGAAGATTAATTTTAAATGCATCAGTTATCACCATGTTTGCACTGTTTCCCACTGCCTCCGTCAATCAATAAGATTTGTGGAAGTAACATGCATACGTTCATCTGTCCACTCTTGATCTGCAGTTTACAGATCATGAGCCAGCACTCATCCTATTCAATAGGGCAAGTATTTGGAAGTTTGATTGTCAAATAAATTACAGTAGGACATGAGCCGAACACTAAATAATGCAATAAGATTTGAAAGGCAGTTAGTCTCCCACAGGAAGCAACATCACTTGGCATTTTTACTAGTAAACAGGACAGGACTCTAGAAAGCGTACCAAGGGAATCAGTCCTACATGAGCAGAGAGATGGACTGGGTGATCTAATAAGTTGTCCACCTCTAACCTCTGATCAGATTCAAAGCATACAGGCATCCTCTAGCCTTTGGGAAGCCTAATATTGTACCTTTGTTTCCTGATAATCCTGATCTGCTTCTGAGTCAGGTATTGAACAGCCCAGATCAAGTTATCATGGGATCAGTTGTGTGGAGAAGAGAGGAGAGATGTTCCTCATGACTTCTAGGAAGAGTCCCATGTGTTTTCCACTGGGTAGGTCCTCTGTTCTGTTTGGTGCCCTAAATGATCTAGCGTTTGCCCACCCTGCAGCTACTCGTTTCAGCCTCAGAGCTCCATATTACAATTGCCTCTCTTCTGGCCAACTGTATGGGGCTGACTCACTGGCATTCCTTATTGACAGAGCAAGGCAAGGAGATCAGTTCAGTGGGTCAGTCAGTGCTGCCTAGGTCTACTGCAGCTGGGAGCAAGCCTCCCAGCACAAGTCAAGAGACTTGTGCCAGCACACTAAAAACAGTGGCGCTCTAGTGGAGACTCGGGCAAGTCACTTGAGCTCAGACCCAGGGGGTTGGGTGGTCTTGAGACAGAGCTGGAATGTCCACAGTGCTAATTTTAGTGCGCTAACTTCAGTCCGTTTACCCCGGCTGTGAGGATTGCTCTCAGCTGTAGTGTAGACGTACCCTGTATAGCCGGCTGGCCTGAGGAATACTGGGAATCACATTTTGAATTCCCAAGTTAGAGCTGAGAAGCTATAGCTTAGTAAAAGGGATGGTGGGGTAGATTTACCCAAATCCCAAATTAAGAACTTTGGCTTCTCTGAAGCATGTTTCCAAAAAGAGGAAAAGCCCAGCTCCAAATGCTCATACTTGCCCCACTGGGGGACAGCAAGGGTTTGGGAGAAGCTATTAAATTACTTTTTGCTGGATCTCTGTGGGGAGACTTGCAACCCTCTAGTAGCAGTGGTCACCCCACAAGGGAGGCTAGTATGAAGACTTACCATGTTTCATCCCTTGAGGTTCCTAGTGGACTGTACCCAACAATGACAATGTCATGTTGTCTACAGAATTCTAAGAGCTTGGGCTGGGTGAAATATGGGTGGCATTCAACCTACATGAATGAAACAGAAGGAGCAATTAAATTAAATAATGACAGATACTGAATAACGTCTTGACATCTCTTTCTGCATGTTTGACCAACCATAATCTCAGATGAATTAGAGGTTGTAGGGGAAGATGTCTTAAGAAAATGGAACCTTCTAGCCCCTGGATTAATCATTCAAATCCAGGCCAGGCTGGTCATGGCAGGCCATCCTGACCTTCCCAGGGGAGAGACTGTGACAAGCATTGTGGAAATAACTGATTTTTCACTTCACTGGCCATACCAAAAAGAGTGTGTTCCGGATCAACCCAAAAGAAACTTTGAAACTTTTGATTCACTGAGAAGTTGACCCGAAACAAAACACTTCATTTTTCTAAGATTTTAGAGTTTTTAAATGAAAAATAGTTTTGATTTGGGGAAAAAATGTTTCATTTCAAATGTGTCAAAATGAAATTTTTAGATTTTGGAATTTTTAGGTTTGATCTAAACAATTCTGAAATTCAACATGAATTCTAATATTTTTGTTGACCCCAAATCTGCATTTTTCAGCTAAAGATGTATCAGCTGAAAAGTTTCACCCAGCTCCAATGATGACAGACCTTGAGCATGTCCAGGCAAGAGGGAAAAAAAAAAAAAAAAAAAATCAATATATACAGTAGTCTAAGAGGAATGTGGACCTCCTTTTTGGGAAACAATTCAGACAGTTTAACACCTTTGCAATTCATGATTGTAATTACATGGGGGGAAATTTGCCTCCTCCCCAATGGATAGATGGCAAATGAGATATGGAAGAGAGATTGGGAGCATGAGGGTAACTGTTGACCTGACCCACCAGCCTTTATGTTCTGCCCAACATTTATGTATAGCCATCTGAATAGAGATCTATGCCAGGAGGCAGGAGCATCTTGGCTACCTATTGATTGTATTTGTCTCTTCTCTTTGTATCCAAGATGATGGCTGTCTTAGTTTGCCTCCAGAAAGTTGGTGACAGCTTATGCCATAAACAGAAAATTGAGCGAAATAAATAAATAAATAAAACCCCACATTTTTTGGTATGGACTTCTCCAAACCTCTATCTTTCCAGCCTGCAGCTATTGTGTACCATTGCCAGTAGTGAATTTTTCTGGCTATGTGCTCAACTTCTCCTGAGTTATAAAAGCAGCTTGCTCTTATAATAAGTTCCTGAAGTTAACAAACCCTAAGAATTGCTTGTTTTTTTGTTGTTTTTTTTTAAATCATAACCTTCCTTGCATCTTTACTACACCCACAGAGGGTAGTATTGATGTAGTCTTGGGGGCGGGGGTGTGAGGGAATGGAGTCAGACAATTCAGCCAGAAGCAGTTATGGTGTTTGGTGCTTGTCTGATAACTTGTTTTTAACTTGAACTTTAATCCTGGTGGGGGGAAAAAGGATTAGAATAACAGCCATAGACACAAGGAAATTCCTGTGTAGCCAAAGAACAGGTACCAGGACAGTGGCAGACTTCCCCAACACTACCTTGCCAGTGTCCCTCCAAGGCCAACTTCAGAGGGTGAAAGGATAGTTTCCTCTCTTTCCTATGCAATCTTTGGCCTCTCTTCTGATGCTGCTAACAAGGATATCCATTAGCACTAGTCATGATATCAGTCACTGGACATCTCTCCAACTCCAAATCAGAAGCCACCCCAACCACCACCCGATGCTAATGACTTGTATCCAGACCAGCTACTTAGAAATAAATGGTTATGGGCCCCATTGTCATGGGTTTTACTTAGACTTGACCATTGATTTCAGTGGCAAGTTTAGCTTCAGCTGAGGGTAAGACAGTCTTATTGCTAAGTTAGTTCTTTGGTCTAGTACCTCCACAGAATGACCCATGGAAAGGACATAGAAAAGTGCCTTAGAACTTCTTTGGCTTGTTGTAGTTTCTTAAAGATAGTTCCTTATAGCAGACACAAAGCTTAGAATAGCACAATATCCCATATGCTATAGGGTTGGACTTTAATTGTTTTAAATGAGATAGCCATCTTGCTTCACTGATGGCTGGTTAGCCTCTGGGTAGTGGCATGCATGTCTCAGGCTGTTGGGAACTTTCTTGGATCACTTGAGGTACCTGGCTGAATCTTTTTGATCATGTCTGCAGTGACAAGAGTTCATACAGACCTTAATTAATTAATTAAAACTCATACAACATGGGACAAACTCAGGTTTTCAAGCATTGGAGAGGGATCTGGAAGGAAATGGATGTTCCCAGCAAATTTGGATATTTATATTGAGTGTAGAGTGAAAAATCAGTCACGCTCACTCCTAAGGAGGAAAGTTTGGCCTTCAATGTTTGGCGGTATGGTGGGTAGCTTATTAACTGCAGTAGGTCATCTGTGCATGCACACAAGTCCTCATATGTGCAGAAGTATTTGTAGTCCCTCTGAGCACTGTACCACAGTGCCAGTTTCAGGCAGAATTAGGGTTCTGCTTGGGATCATACCTGATTGCTGACAGGTTTGTGCTTGAGCCCTGGCTTGTTCAGAATCATTTCCAGCTGCCTGCGGTTGAAGTTGGACACTCCAATAGATTTTGCCAAGCCAGCATCTTTACATGCTTCCAAAGCCTGCAAAGATAGCAACGGAGAGCATTAGAAAGAAAGCCTCAATAGAAACCTTCGCGGAAAGGAAAGTCAGCATTATTAGCTAAGTGAAATATACTCTACTCAGGACTCTGTCTAGAGAGCTAAGTGTGCATGCCTTATAGGAAAGGCCTTTACTTTGGAGGGACTAGCACTCCTATTGATGCTTTCTTCCTATTCTAAACCCAGTTCTCATGCAGCCATAGATTTTCAGAAGACCAAACCAAGGCACCTCAGATTTCAATGTTACTTCATACTAGGGTAGAATTTTCCCAGGAAGCAGAGCAAATCAGAAGAAACATTTGAGAGACAGTACTTATAAATTTCACATGTTCACTTCCAGAGTTTTATTTCAAATTTTAGAGGGACTTCCACACAGCTTTAGGGGTGGGGAAAGGGAGACAACATCTGAACAAGAGACAGCTTCCCTTCCCTGTCACTTTCTGACTTATTGTGCCAGTGTTAGTCCAGGCTCTCCTCCCGCCAGAGTCTATAGTTAAGTCATAATTTTATGCCTGTAACACCAAAATGTTGCCATGAAATTGTGCATTACAAAAATCAGCATTAAGACTTCACTGCAAAATGAAACGGGAGGAGAAGATGGGGCTGAGGGGATTACAGGATTTGCATTTCAAACAAATATAGCCATGCAATGAAGGAAGCTTATAAGAACAAGGTAAACATACAATAATTCCTTCATTACACATACTTTGATACTCTGCTTTTAGTTGATGCCATGCTTCATTAACAGGAGAAGAGTATCTTTGCTTAGAGAGAGTCTTCGCCTCTCTCCCCAAACCCCTCCGAGGAATGCAGTGGCTGTTCAGTGGTGCAATGAAGCAGAGTTACAGTAGACCCTATTCTTGTCTCCAACATCTGGGTACTGAATGTCCTGCTTGTCAGTTTTATTATTCTTTTCTGATTTAAATGAATAGGGGAATTAGGGAAGCAAAAGACGCCATTTATTTTATGGCCTCTGGCTGGCCTCTTCTTGTCATATGATTTTCATCATTCAATGGTGAGGTAACAAGAATAGCCACAATACTGGCTGCTGAAGCCACACTGAAACAATTAAATTACTCCAGCGAGGAGTTTAGCTGGCTATATCTAGACTGATCCTAATATTTACAGGCAGTGATGACCCCCTTCTCAGTGGCAGCAGCTGGGTTTTTCCTGCCTATTGTTACAGAGGCTGTCATGTTACACTATAGCCTTACAATAAGAAACAGATTGAGGGTAACAAGCTGCAGGGATTGAACAGACAACATTTGACAGATGTTTTTCTTTTCATGTTTAAGTGAATTTGACTTGTGAATCTGAGGAACAACCAACACTGGCTTGGGCCAAGCATACCGTGAGCAGCTACTCTGGAAGTTACGTGCACAACTCAGTTCCCTGGAAGACACCCCTCTCTTATTCCAGTCCTGGGAGCCCACTTCAGAATTTTGCCATTGTGTCCAAACCTTGACCAACAACACCTCGTGCTAAGCCAGTACAGGGCATCACTACACAACTTTTGCCAGTGCAGATTTAATCTGGACATGTAGCACCCTGGGCTATTCCCATCTCTTGAGGAGAGAAGGCTGCTTGTGCTGAGTAAGTCGTTAAAAGCCACATGGCTTAGGATGTGCAAAAGTGAGGACTAGACTGAGATCAAGACTCCCTTTTACCTGTGGTGTAAGAAAAAAAAAGTGTGGTGTCTAGAAGTGACTAAGGATGGGTTGTGTATTGCCCTGCCCCCTTTACTTGAACCAAAGTTTCTACTTCTAAGTAAGGGCAGGTTTGAGATATTTAAAAGGTGGGAACCTTGAAAGGCACAGCCCATTGACAATTTAAGATTCAGCGCCCCTATGCAGTTCTACTATCCTCTAAAGCAGTGGTTCTCAACCAGGGGTATGCAGGAATTCATCTACATATTTGCCTAGTTTTACAGCATAGCTACATAAAAAGCACTAGCAAAGTCAGTACAAATTAAAATTTCATGCATACAATGACTTGTTCATATGGCTCTATATACTATACACTGAAATGCAAGTACAATATTTATATTCCAATTGATTTATTATATGGTAAAAATGAGAACGTAAGTATTTTTTCTGTAATACTTTGCTGTGACACTTCTGTATTTTTGTCTGATTTTTGTAAGAAAGTAGTTTAAGTGAGGTGAAACTTGGCTCCTGAAAGGCGTACAGTAGTCTGGAAAGGTTGAGAGCCACTGCTCTAAAGTCCTGGTAATGAAAAGAAATGTTGAATTCCCTTCTGGTAACTTATACCCCAGAACAGAGGGAGAGTTATTTTTTGTGAGGCAACATAATTTTCTATCCTACCTTGAAACTGTACATTTTTGTTACCAAGAAGGAGCTAGTCATATGTCACTAAGGCCCACTATCTCCTCCATCTCTTTGAAAGTAGTAAGACTTGAAAAGCTACAACTGCAATGAACGTGGTGGTCTCTGAGAAGCCCACTACAGACTCGTTGAACAGTTCCAGAAGCCCCAGCTAACAGAAGGCAAGTGCAATGTCTGGATCAGGGAGTGTGAAAAAGGCGTTTCTAAAACCATTTTGGGGGTACATCTACATGACAAATAAAGTGTGATTGTAGCATGTGTTGGCATATGCGCTAGCTTTATTTTCGCTGGTAGTAGAGACATGTTGGCATGGGCTAGCAACCCAAGACAGCCACCCACAGTCCTCAGCAGGCTCATACTGGGCTGCTAGCCCAAGCGGACATCTTCACTTTTGTTACCTGCATGAGCTAGATGAAAGCTAGCCCAGGTACGCCGGTCCGTGCTAGTCACACCTTCATTTGCTGCATATATGTACCCTCAGAGTTAGTTTAATGCTGGTGGAATGAGACACCCTTGCACACAGAAGTCCTGTTTATCCAGGGAGTCAGTGCATGGTCAGTGGAAACGCAAGTTTACCTACATTGCCTTGTCAAGGTTCCTCAGCCAGAGTGCAGAGGAACCACTTTCCCAGATGTGACAGCATTAAAATACATAGGAATGTTACAACTGCGTACCTCCCAAGTGGCACATAAGTTGGTCTCATGGTAGATATATTTTCCATTTTCATCTCTAGGGTAGATTGCATCTCCAGGCTGAAAGAACAAAGTCACAGTTTTCAGCTTTCACTACTCAGAACAGAGGTTTTACACACACTGTACATTTATCAGTGGACAAAAATTCAGAGGCTTTCTAAACACACCAAGTTCAAGAGGTTATTCATGTTGCGCTTGCCACATCCTCCCTTCATCTACCAGCACTTTAATGCTATCGTCATTAAGTGCACTTCCTGAAATATTCCCCTCATATGGCTATGCACTAAGAAGTTCCATTTTGAGTTATGCCATGTGATCCTGGAGGTTGCAAGGGGATATGGCTTTCAAGAGACTAATCCCCTATTTCCCAGATATTCCATTATGGCAGCCAAACTTATCCACATGGCTAAACTACTGCAAAAGCCCAATTCCCCTCCAAGGCTGCTTGCTTGTGCTATTTACCATTCAGGGACACTGAAGAGCAATGCAAGTTAAACATCTGATATTGCAAGATAATCTTGAGGGACCAATTCCCAGTGATGCTAATGAGAGTTATGTGCATTGGACATCTGGCAGGATGTGCCAAGAATCTTTCAGGATCATGCCCCAAGTTCTCCTATCTCCCTTGATACCCCAGAGAGAACTTTCAGGATGCTTGCAAGCATCCATAGGCCTGGTACGTAAGTGCACCACTTTCTCTCATTTGCTGATCAATTTGTTGCTACTACAGGCAGTATATTTTAAAATGCCAATCATTCATTTAATATTAATTTCACTTTGTTTCCTTAAATGCCTTTTGAAGTCAGATCAGCTACCAGACACCACAGATGGCCATAGTTCAAAAAGTGCAGGGTAACGTGTCGACAGGGTAATTCCTCAGGAATATGCAGCTGTGACTAACGTGCTCAGTGACTGGCGCCACCACATTCAACACATGCAGCTGCAAGGCATTTTAGGGTGAAAATGAACCTTAGTACAACAAAGCATCCTCACATTTCAGAGACTGGAGTATGATGTGGAATTAAGTGTAGGTTTCTCGCCTCAAAAATTAGAGCATTCCTTAAAGCAAGTCCCAAGAGACAGGCCTGTTACTATTATTACTTCTTACTATGTCTTATTGGAAGAACCTTGCACTGTCAGGAAAAAGTAAGATGGCTTTTAGGTCTTTTCCATCTCAAATTGCATGAGAGCGAAAGAAGAGTAGAGAGGGGTTTGGAGTTCTTTATGAAGATGGGATCCTAGCCAAAACATTTCAGGATTCTGGAATATCCTACTCCAAAGTTTGGCATCTTCTATAGGGATCATTATAAAGGTAAGGGTCGTTGCAAAGCAGGTATGGACTTCTAGCAAACTGGGTTGGATCTGGATCCAGGAGTTTGGTTTTAGGGCCATCTCTCATTAGATAGAAAGAGAATGTTTAACTTGGGACCACCTCCAAATTCCTTTGCTCCTAGTATTAGTATTCTAGACAGCAAAGAAAAAGAAAGGCTCAAAGAAACAGCAAGATCTAGAGTTCCCTCCTGTGGATTTCCACAAGGTCTAATCCCTTCTCCAATCCTTTATAACAACGTCTACATGGAGCTGCTGTGGGAAGCTGAGATGCCCATGTCTAAAAAAGCCATAGTAGGCAGATGGTACCCATCTCTACATTCCCTTTATCACTGATGCAAATAGGACCATCTCACAGCTACCTGCATTCCAGAGAAAGCACCTAGATGAAAGATCTGGCTGAATATGAACCAGACAAGATGGAGGCAATGCTGATGGGAAGAGGCAGACAGTTTGGAAAATGAAGCAATTGTGGTTACTAGATCTTCAGAGACTTCTTCCCACAGCTTGTCAAGTTAGTCCATAGAGTGGGATCCTCCTAGACTTCTTATGGCTGCAGGATACATAGCAATGACTACAATAAATGCTTTATTCCATCTACAACTGGTCCATCTTAAATAGACCCACACACTCATTTCCAAAAGAAATAAGGTCTCTAGATCTCACTGCCTTCAGAACCAAGTGTCAAACCCACTTTGACTTAGCAATCAAAAACAAAGGAAGAGAAAAATGGCTATTTAACAACTCCTAGCCACTACTGCATCTGGGAAAGAAGGCAGGAAGTTAATCAAAATAAGCCAATGTATCTATCTATTTTCTCTTGGGATCTATCTATTTTCTCAGATACTATGGTGATGGGAGACACTAGAAGAACCCAGATATCAAGCCTTTCTGGATATATTCAGAACTCTTTCAGAGTGAATTTTTTGTTTTGCTCTCAGAACAAAGTCCTCCCAAAGACCTATATGAAAAAAGTTTGCATCAGTAAAATCAGCAAAGAGATGAGTTTACAATTTTAAAACAAAAGGCAGGATTGTGAATTTTGCCTCAAGCATCAATATTTTCACATATTAATGAAAGGCTAATTTTGCAGGTGAGATTTTTGGCTGCAAGAAAGGAAGTCTCCTTCAACTAACAAGCCTCTGTCTGAGGCAAAATATGAGTTTTTTGTAATGTGATGCCACTTTCTGTGGCAAATGTGTGCTGGCATAATTGTTACTATACAAAATACACAAGTCTGTGTGCCAATTGATAGAGTACTATTAACACACAAATATAAAGTTAAATTTGAAGATGCTTTAGGGAGATTAAACAACACCTAGCCCAACAACAGCTGTTGCAGATGGGGAAAGCTGTCCAAACAAATCCCGCCTTGTGTGTGGTTTTTGCAGAAACAACTGTTCCAATTCCAAGAGATGCTTCCCAGATTTGGTCCAGACATTGCTCCATACTTCACTGCATATTGTGTTAGAAAGAAAGGGATTTTCCCCTCCCCAAAGGGAAGCATGAGTGGAGCTCCAGGACTGCAACTGTAATAGCAAATGAAAGTGTCTTGATGCAGCAAGATTTAGGGAATCAAAAGTAGATTTATTAAAAGTCAGCTGTCAATATCTTTATTTTGTGAGCCACTGACCTTCACCATATGGGAGAATGAACTAGGGGAGGAAAGCAAGAGAAGTAAAAGGAAACCGGAAATTCCAGATGGTGGGAACTATTTTCTAACGTGCACCTAAAAGGGTTCCATACTAGAGCTTTATTTATATAATCCTTAACATCTGAGGCCAATTACTCTTGTGTAAGGAACAGGACGCCACTTCCATAGGAGAGAAGGGAATGTAGGGCCTCTAACTGAGTGAGTTTCATATGCTTGTTTTTGATCTCTAGAGGTACTGGTATTTGAATGCACCAGTCACAGGAAGGCATGAGCTTTGAGAGTTGTCAGGAAACAAAAGACTCAGGTAGATTCCTTTCTTGGTGGAAGCAGTGTTGTCCTCTCAGAGCATTTAAAAGTGATCCAGCCTTCCCCTCCCCCCTCCAAAGAAGTTATGAATGGCTTAGTTCTCTTTGGGGTTTTTAGATTTGCCTTCTGGCTTAAGGCTCTGGGGAGCACTTGCATTGTGTTTTCAAACTTCTCTCTGAAACCATGAAGGCTAGTGACTTCCTTTCATAATCCTCCCAGCCCCTGCGATGGTTTAAGAGATGGAGCTTCAAGAAAAAGCCCCAAATCTTATGAGTGGTCATAAAATTGCAAGAGTTGGCAACACTGCAAGAAATGATACCAGTTCCCCAAACACCAGTGATTCCCAGAATGAGGGAACAAGAAGTCATGACTGTTTAAATTTCTGCCTCGGATAAGCCATGTTTAGATGCTAGGTCTGTCCTCCTAAAGCTGTGTCTAGCTGACTGCCACAAACGAGCAGATATGCAAGAATGGTTTCCCACAATACCTTTAAATACTATGGAGACTGTCTAGTGGTTGGAACAAAGGCTGGGAGTCAGAGCGGTTTTATTCCCTAATTCTACCGCTAGCTCAGTGTTGCCTTGTAAGTCACTTAACTCCTGTTAATCTTCCCATCTGGCCAGAAGTGAATTTAGATTGGAAATTAAAAGGTTTCTAACCATCAGAGGAGTTTGGTTCTAGAACAACCTTCCAATAGGGGACAAGAAACTTAAGTGGTTTTAAGATGGAGCTTACAAAACAACATAGTTGCCTTTCATTGCAAGGGGACTGGACTCTATGACCCAGCCTATGCTCTATCTGGAAAATGGGGATAGTACCCTAGGTTCATAGATGGCTTCATAGACTATTACAGACTTCTATATCCTACTCCTGGGGGAATTCTGCATCACTGTGCATGCAGATTTCTTTGCTTCCCTGCAGAAAAATTACTTGCTGACGGAGAAGCAAAGGGAAGTCACAAGAGTGGTCATGTGACTCTCCCCAGCAATATGTTTTGCGTGGCCAGGGCAGCTGGCAGAGAGGTAAATCACTGTGGGGCAGGAGGTGGGACTGGGGAAGACCTGTCTGGCGGCTCCTATCCCGCGCCTGGCTCAGCTGGTAGTCTGGGCAGGAGAGGATGGGACTTCCTCTTCCCCTGCATGGCATCTGGGGCCAGGTCAGACTCACCCCCAGCTTTCTCCCCCGGCTACAGGAAGCTCTGCAAACTCCCCCCTTTCCTGCATCCATCGCTCCTCAGCTGCAAGATCCCTGTATAAGGAGCTGCTCCCCTATCCGTCCAACCCCCATGCATCCAGACCCCCTCAGACTCAGACCCTCTCGCCGAGCCTCACTCCTCCACACTCAGAACCTCACTAATGAGCCCCACTCCCCCTGCACCAGATCCCTTCCGCACCCGGATCCCCCACTGAGCCACCTGCACCCAGAACCCTCTTAACCCACACCTGGATCCCTCTATACCAAGTCCCTCCACGCTTTGTTCCTGACTTGTTGAGCCTGCCTGCCCACACCTGGTATGGAGGGGCAGGGCCCTGGGATGTTTCTGGGGCAGGCACGGTCCTTGCACTGCATCAGGGTTGGGTGCAGCCTCACCGCTGAGTCCATGTCCCAGGGGAGTGGGGGGGCATAGTTGCACAGTGATCTCCCACCTCTGTGCAGCCAGTGGCCTTTGCTTCCCAGTGCAATGCTGAAACCTCCACATTTATTTGACAAATAAAATTTCCAACATTTTGCAGAAATTTAAAATATTGTGCACAGAATTTTAATTTTTTGGTGCAGAACGCCCTCAGGACTAATATCCCCCCTCTCACCCCAGCTAAAGGAGCTCTCCTAGCACCAGTGCTAAAGGCCCACTTTATTCCACTTGACAAGTTATGCTTACTCTATTTGGCCAGGATTCTCCACTTCACAAAGTTCATGTTATTGTGCTTTGTCTTCTTCAATGAAGAGCGATATGCACATCCAAAGAATGTCAAGCATTACATTGCCACCAAAGAACCACTTTTTTAAACAAACAAACAATGGTCTGTAAATTTGAAGAATTACCTGAGTCAGAGGACTTGGTTCACACAGACAGATATTGTGATAAGCATTAGGGCTACTTTTCTCTTTACCTTGAATGCCATTGGCAGCTCAATAATATAGAGATCAACATAATCCAGCTGCAGAATCTTGAGTGTCTTCTCCAAAGTTGGACGCACCAGCTCCGGTGGGTGACATGTATTCCACAACTAGGGGAGAGGAACAAAACAAACAAAAAAAACCACACTCTTGGTTCTAGTGACATAAATAGAAATTCAGTTACTTGATTTCCCCACCTTTCTCCCCTTTAGACAGCACTACAGACTACATTGGCTTAGCACAGGATGTAAGTCAGTGCATTATTGGATTACTTATGTACACAAAGGAGAAGCCCCGTTTTTTCCCCCTAGGATGGATCAGCATAGAGAACGGACCTGAACCTTTACCCATAACTCAAACCTGTCCTGACCGGAAATAGTAGATTTTAAACACGCTCACATACTTAAAATGTAGACAACAACTTTCTACTTCCTGAATTTGGCTGGATGTTTGGCAAGGGTCCTGTGATTGGAAAGGATTGGCTAAAGGGAGGGAAGGTTTCAGAGAGGTCTCATATGGTTAGAATAGTTCAAATACTTATCTAAGCCACAGCCAGACTCTGAACCTTCTGAAGTTTGCTTATTCCCACCGGAGGGCTCCCCTTTCCCTCTCTAGCAAGAGGATCTACAAAAAAAATTTTTTTTTTTTTTTGAGCTGTGCACTTGTATTCATGCTCTGAAGTCTGCACATGGACAAAATTGCAGAGATTTGTGGCTTCAAGTAGAGGTCACTAAGTATCTATTCAGGGTTGAGCAAGTGACTTTGGAAACAAAAATGAACTCCCCAAATTTATCAAGTTTGGTATATACTAGGGCTGTCGATTAATCTCAGTTATCTCACGCGATTAACTCAAAAAATTAATCGCGATTAAAAAAAATTGATTAATCACAGTTTTAATTGCACATTAAACAATACAGTACCAATTGAAATTTATTAAATATTTTGGATGTTTTTCTACATTTTCATATATATTGTATTCTGTGTTGTAATTGAAATCAAAGTGTGTATTATTTTTATTACAAATATTTGCACTGCAAAAATGATAAACAAAATAAAGTATTTTTCAATTCACCTCATACAAGTACTGTAGTGCAATCTCTTTGTTGTGAAAGTGAAACTTACAAATGTCGATTTTTTTTTTTTTGTTATAGCTGCACTCAGAAACAAAATGTAAAACTTCAGAGTCTACAAATCCACTCAGTCCTACTTGTTCAGCCAATCACTAAGACAAACAAGTGTGTTTACATTTACAGGAGATAATGCTGCCCGCTTCTTATTTACGATGTCACCAGAAAGTGAGAACAGATGTTCAGATGGCACTTTTGTAGTTGGCGTTGCAAGGTATTTACGTGCCAGATGCGCTAAAGATTCGTATGTCCCTTCATGCTTTGGCCACCATTCCAGAGGACATGCTTCCATGCTGATGATGACGACACTTGTTAAAAAAAATAATGCATTAATTAAATTTGTGACTGAACTCCTTGGGGGAGAACTGTATGTCCCCTGCAGTTTTATCTGCATTCTGCCATGTATTTTATGTTATAGCAGTCTTGGATGATGACCCAGCACATGTTGTTCATTTTAAGAACACTTTCACTGCAGATATGACAAAACGCAAAGAAGGTACCAATGTGAGATTTCTAAAGATAGCTACAGCACTCGACCCCAGGTTTAAGAATCTGAAGTGCCCTCCAAAATCTGCGAGGGACGAGGTGTGGAGCATGCTTTCAGAAGTTTTAGAAGAGCAACATTCCGATGCGAAAACTACAGAACCCGAACCACCAAAAAAGAAAATCAACCTTCTGCTGGTGGCATCTGACTCGGATAATGAAAGTGAACTTGCATCAGTCCGCACTGCTTTGGATTGTTATCAAGCAGAACCCGTGAGCAGCATGGACGCATGTCCCCTGGAATGGTGGTTGAAGCACGAAGGGACATATGAATCTTTAGTGCATCTGGCATGTAAATATCTTGCGACGCCAGCTACAACAGTGCCATGAGAACACCTGTTTTCACTTTCAGGTGATATTGTAAACAAGAAGCTGGCAGCATTAACTCCTGCAAATGTAAACAAACTTGTTTGAGCGATTGGCTGAACAAGAAATAGGTCTGAGTGGACTTGCAGGCCCTAAAATTTTACATTGTTTTGTTTTCAAATGCAGGTTTTTTTGTACATAATTCTACATTTGTAAGTTCAACTTTCACAACAAAGAGATTGCACTACAGTACTTGTATTAGGTGAATTGAAAAATACTATTTCTTTTGTTTTTTACAGTGCAAATACTTGTAATCAAAAATAAATATAAAGTGAGCACTGTACACTTTGCATTGTGTTTTAATTGAAATCAATATATTTGAAAATGTAGAAAACATCCAAAAATATTGAAATAAATGATATTCTATTATCGTTTAACAGTACGATTAATCGTGTGATTATTTTTAATCGCTTGACAGCCCCAGCATATACTGATTTTTTTGTTGAAGATTTCCAACGTCTGTGGTCAGTTTTATCATGCTGATGCTAGGTCATGTGATCAAATGATATTATGAAGAAAGGACTAGTTAGGTTTGAGTCTCTGCATGATCTAGGGAAGTTTTTGTTTAAGCTCAGAACCTCACTGAAAGATAAATGCTGCATTGATGCTCCATAGGCATGAAGCAGATGTGGTTTGAGTGAAAACTGAACTAGGGCCTTGTGTAAATAACAATTTCATAGGGGGCACAGAAATCATGAAAATGCCCCCATACTAGGATTTTTTAAATATTACCTTAGCTTACTGTGCTGTGCACATGCAGAGGAATTGAGTGCTGTGTACGTGCATATGAAAAACATCTAGCCGGAAAACAGAATGGATGCGTCTTAAAAAAAAAAAAAGTCGCAGGCGCAAATGAAATTGACTAAAGTTTGCTGGTTACGTTCATTCTGTGCAAACTGTGAAATTCAATACATTGCCATTTACACGGTCATGAATTTTCTAAAACCACCCACATGATTTATATAGTCCCTAATTATGCCTGCTTCCTCCATTGAGGGATTATTCCCAGATGTCAAGGATTTTAAAAACCATCCGTGTTCTTGGATTCCCATGTGTTAGTTGTGACCCAAGATACCCATCATCTGATTAGCTTGAAGACAGACATTTCTGATGCAGGATTCCAGGCCTTTGTCTTCTCCCATCTGGGAGAACTGAAATTTGCTCTATTTAGGGCTATTCTTGAAGACCACACCAAAATTTCAGCTACCACCTGCCAATGTAGCCACCTGTCTTAACAGGGGCAGCTTGAGTTGAGCAGAGTATCTATGCTTTGTGCAGCACATAGCCTTAAATCTGCTTTTGGGGGAAATTCAAGGTGTTTCTCAATCCGAAAGGAGATGGGGAATTTTTGAACATAGGCAGCAGGGCATTTTTTTGGTAGAGAGCCTCGATTTTGGAACTTTCTTCTTAATATGTAGCTGGCCATTTTTAGGTTGCAGGATGTTTAATGGAAAACCTGCAGTTGCTATGTGGGTGAGCTCGGGCCAAAGTCATTTTTAGCAGACACAGTTACTTAGGGGGTAATGGTGATGTGTTTTATTTTGCAAAAGACCCACATGCCTTAGTAAATGTTCCTTAAAAGTCTTTGCAAATTGATTATGAGCGTTAAGAGCATGCCCATGCCAATATCAGCGCACACACAACACACCAAGAAAGCATCCTTTGCTTGCACATAATAGAATGTGCATTGAACACAAGATAAGAGTCTAAAATATCAGGAGGCATTTTATAATTTGCATTATCTAACGTGAGCCATGCTGACCTGTTGAACAATTCAGAGGTCCATGGGGTTAGTCATTGCCTACTTGACCCAACTTCCAGGAATTACGAGTTAAGATGGGCCTAGATGTAGAAGAGAGCGACTGCGGCACAAACACTTTCAATAGGGGGTAGGGAATGCTCTTCATTGTTTTACATGTGAAGACAGTTTACCTTATTAAAAAGGTAATGACCAAGGAGAGCCATCCCCTTATTTTTAATTGGATTTTCAAGATTAAACAAAATGCTAGTTCTAGCTATGGGTTTTTCCAAATGCTCTTCTACCTTAGAGGGAGCCCTGTACAAATACCTATCAGTGAGTAAGTGCCATGAATACAGCAGTTTTAAAAAGCCACAGAGGCTTCAAAGAAAGGCGCTGCAGCAGTGGCTGTGAAACCTGTTACCTTATCAGATGCATGGATGAAGTGGGTTCTAGCCCACAAAAGCTTATGTCCAAATAAATTTCTTAGTCTCTAAGGTTCCACAAGGACTCCTCGTTGTTTTTGCCGATACAGACTAACACGGCTGCTACTCTGAAACCTGTTACCTTAGTTTCACTGGTGCCAAAAAATGTTAGGTGAGTTTCCTAACTGGTTTTCACAATTTGTAAAAGTTACCTACATCTATGGGTCAACATTCAGCCTATCAGAAACCTGCCAAGCAGCTGTGACATTCTAGAACACCACATTCCCTGGAAATCTTACTTTTTAGCTTAAGAAAAGAAAAATCTCTGGGGTGAAAGAGATGACCATGAAAGCCTTAGTACATAAGCCAAAGATTGTTGGCAATTGATGGAAAGCCTCTGAAATCTTTGGATGCTTTGTCTGTGATCAACATGTTAACAGCGGGAGCCAAGCACAAATCCTGATTTCAGCTGGCAGATAGTGTATGACTTTACAAAGTCATTATTCCAGTACAACTGAGCCTAGTCTTGTTAACCATGGCTGATGGGCTGGTGTGACATTTGTATCATCAAATCATTTAAAGACTTACCTGAACTCCTTCAGTTGAGAAATTGCATAATAAAGCCAGGTTCTCCTGTGAAATTTCTAGTACTTGCTGGTTTGGGGGTCAGGTCAGAAAGAAGCAGAGCTTTTTCTCATGTTGTAGTAATAAATGGCCTAGTGAGCTTACCACTGCGTCTCTAATAATGCAAAGAATTAGGGTTGGTCAGCCATTATATGCTAGAGATTTGCCGTTAACTCAGTTTGTGCTTTAGGAAAAAAAGAGGATCAAAGTTCAGGAAGGGGAGGGAGGGAAAAATCACAGATGAAATATACATTTAACCCCAAAGGTTCAGGTTAAATCTTTATCTTGTTAAGTAGTGACCAGACAAAAGAATAGAAAGATAGCTGCAGTAGAGGAATTCCCACATATTGCATGTTATTGCAGCCAAGGTTGGAACCAGAATGTCTTTCTCTCAACAAAAGCTACAGTCTAATAGGATCAGGATCACAACCTCATTTCTGGGAACCACATGTTCCACCCTCCCTAAAGAAAAACTCTGTCCAACTAAACGTTGACTCAAGGATAAATAGAAGACGTTTTGCCAATGGTTTGACGAAGTGCATTTAATAGAAAGGCTGTCTAGGGGTTAGATCAGGTGACTGGGTGTTAGAAGACTTTGCTTCTAGATTTGGGTAGGAAATTTTCATAATGGCATTTCTTGCTGGAAAAACAAATTTGTTGAAACCAAAAGCTTCCTGCAAGAAAGGGGTCAATTTTGCTGAATTCCCATTTTAAAAAATTGAGACATTTCAAAATTGTCAGGTCCTGTTTTCAAACAACTTCTCATTTCAAAAATGTCAAATCACTTGAAAAATTTAGAGTGCTCAATACAAACTGCTTTGATTGACCTGATCCAGAGTTTAGATTTTTGATTAGTGAAAAACTTGTGACTGACTTTGCCCCAGTTTGGGGAAGAGTTTGAAATCCCCCCCCCCCCCCCGTAACAGGAAAACGGTTTCCCACCCATCTGTGACAGAAAGCAGCTAGCATGGTATAGCTGAAGCACTGGATTGGAAATCTGTTCACAGCTTTGCCATTGACTTGCTCTCTAACTTTTGAGAACTCACTTAAGCCTTAAAACCATCTGAAGCTGTGGCTTAGACTCCTAGTTTGCGGAGTACTTAGCTCCTAGAATAGAAGGTGCTATGGAAGTAAACAGCTACAATTGTTCAGTACAAAACACTGAATGCATACTTTTTAGATGTCTGAAATATTTATTAAACCAGTGTTTTGTGGTGCACATTTAAGATCCACTGTACAGAGAAAGGAAGATGCCAGGAGCACATTGTTAAGTGTGGTGGGGGATTTTATAACATGAACAGCTACCTGTAAGAAACTGACCTGAGCCTGCTAGCTTATTTCACGTATAACTGAACTGGTACCACTTTTGTACCAATGACTTAAAGTTAAAGTTGAATCCCTTTATCAATACTTTGAACTAAAGTTCTCCATTTCACTTGTTTGGATGATTTAAAAAAAGTGTCAGATTTAAGATTTTAAACTTTGACTAGCTCATGACTCATTCTCAGGAGCCTTTCCCTTCTTGAAATTAAGCACAAGACTACATCACCACAAGACAGTTTTCTGCATTGATCACTGAATTTCACATATAAATCCCACAATGAAAGCTGGCTTTTATGTGAAGTGTTTCTCGGAAATCCAGCTGTATGAGACGACTGTCAAAGTTAAGCCTAAAATTATAGGCAGCGTTTTTCTTTTTGGAAGCCTCCATGTAGTTGCCAGATTTTCCTCTCCCACTCCCTCCCTTCCCTGTAAATTCATTAAGTCTCTTTAAAACAATTAATTCAAGCCGTGGTGTTTGAAAAGGCCTGCAATGGAAAATGTGCATGTGCAATGCAAAGAAAGAGTCACTGTACAAGTTCCAAGAGGCGAACGATGGGCAAAACCTCAGGAGGTTGGGTTTGAAAAAGTACTGAAATATTTGGATGATTTAACTTGAAATTAAGGAAATGTACTGCATGTTCAGCCCACCAGAACACCCACAAAAATAAATCACAAGAGTAAGTAGTCTGATGTAACTTCTCACTTTGCCACAATAGAAGATTTCGTCTCGTTTTACTTTTCCTTCTGCAATCTTCTCCCAGATGGCCTGTCCCACTTCATGCTCGTTGTAGTACACAAAGGCCCCATCAAAATGGCGGTAACCAGCATCAATGGCAATCTTCACTGATTCGGCACAGGTACCTTTTGGAGTCTAATGGAGACAAGAGAAAGGGCAACATGGTAACGACTTTGTTCGTGCTCCTCTGAGCAGCAGTGGGACGGTGCTAAATCTGAATGAGTGGGAAGCACCAGTCAACATTTCACCTCCTAGTCTACAACTCCCACAACTCTGTTCACATACTAGACTCCTGGGAAAGAGCGAGGATGGAACTGCTGTGCTCCTAATAGAAATTAATTTAGATTTATGGAGACTTTAAGTTCCCCTTTTTACCACTGAATGGAATAGAATGCTAAGTTCTCCATGTGTACCCCTCTGCCACCCTAACTTTTCAAGAGTTGAAAAGCGACAGACAGAATTTAGTTTTTCCTTTTGCTATTACTTTTCCAAATTTGGACACATTTTGAAGAGTTAGAGCAGAAAATAGAAGAGGGGTAGAAAGTGGAAAAGCCCTTGGACATGGTTTATTTTAATGCACTCTGTGGCAAAAAAAAAAAAAAAAAAAAAAAAGGGGGGGGGGAAGAAAATGAAAAGTGGTTTTTGTTTTTTTTTCCCCAAAAAGCAAAACTAAACATTTTAGATTAAGATGACCTCATTGTGAAGTTTCCTGTCAAATCAAAGCTCTCCCATAAGAAGTCATTTGACAAGACCCCATGAGAAAGTTTTTGGTTGAAACACTGCTCTATTGAAACAGATCAGAAATTGCCTGCACAGCAATGCTCACCTGTGACACAAATTGCCTGCACACCGGTGACAACTTATTGAGGCGGGGGAAGAGGAATTCAGACATTACCTTGATCCTCCTCACTTTCACCAGCTCAACACCATTGGAGCTGCTACATTTTACACGGGGGGGGGAGGGGGAGGGAGGGAGAGTAGAATTGGGCCCTGTTGGATTAGCATATCACAGGTAGGCAGTGGTTTCACAGTCTGCCTAAGAACATGTATATTACTTTCAATTTTTTTTTTTTTTTTTTTAAAGAAAGAGGTCCTGACTGCTGCAGTCTAGAAATTAAAACGGAGGGAGAGACTGTATGGGACTGATATCTCCAAATGAAGAACGTGCTAAAGCTTTGCTGTACTTTGGGCCTCATGTTGCCTGTCAGCAGCCATGCTGACTTACCCTTTAAAAATAAGTAAATTAAAAAAAATCAGTAAATTTGGGTTTGTTTCAGAGCAACTCGGCTCTTTGCCATGTACCAGCTTGGAGTTCAAGATGCACATCAGCCAAGCGAAACAAAAAGTTCACTTAGGGGGAGAGTACAGTGTGGAAAGCAGAAGTACAACCACAGTCACCACATCTAAGATGGTCACTGCAAGTAGCTTGATGCTATGGCTCACTCTTGCCAGTGTCTTTGCTTATTGGAGGGTGGCTCAAAGAACTCACAGCAGGTATGGAAACCATATTTCAAGTTCCCAAATAGAGGACACTGCCGGGGAACCCTACTCATAGGTCCTTGTGGTGACATAGTTTAACTTCACCTTTTGGAAGGTACTGATGCTATGTCTGTACATTATTATATTTATATCCTTATCCAGAGCTCTCAATATGCCAGGGCTCACATGTATATCTAGGAAGGTACAAGAAAAAGGTAACTTCGTGATTCAGTAGGAGTATTAAAACTTCAAGTTTTTTTTAAATGCGGAAGTGAGACTTAAATGTACCCTTGTTGGTTAAAAGTCTGAGGGAAACTTGAGAGGCCAAATTTATTTGTTTGGCCAGCCACCCACCCCACCTTGGGGAAAACGGAGTGCAATTTCATTCACTTAATAGGTACACCGACAAGGAGATAAACACTCGTTCAAATTCTTTCCTTCTTTCTAGAGGGACTTTCATGTCCTGCCAAGGCCCTTTCCAAGTTGGCAGCATGGGCCATGCCAGAGTGTAATGAAGATCCTATCAGCTAAGACATCAAAGCTGAAGAGACCAAGTCACTGTCCTGCCACATTTTTACCTGTTTATGATAGTTAAAAAGTTTTAGGTGTATCAAGCATGGAGCAATGGCAAACAAACACATACTGTACTTTGTGTGGTACCTAAACCTGCAGGGACAGGATTTAAGGAAACCATAAGGTGAAGACTGTATATCTGTAGTTGTCGTCCTTTGAAGGCATCTTATCTACTTAAGAGTTAAAGTTTCCATTTGTAGCTCAAGCGTCTCAGTCCTATCATCTTGGTATGGTTTCTGGGAAGTATTTTTTAAGTTTCCATCTCTCTTTTAGAGTTTGATTTATCAGGCTCCCCAACACTGTTAGACAAATATTGCTAAGGTAACAGGCATCTTTGCATTCTTTGGCCTGATGGTGGCCTTCAGTTCTATCAAGTACACACCAGGTTGGCGCCAGTGCCTGGGACAAGTTTCAGCACTTTGATGCATCCAGGGGCCTTGACACCTCAGGGGGCAACTTCAGAATGCCGCTCCTGGTGCCCTAGTGAATTGGAGTGATGATTAAGTTTCAGGAAATTCAATGTATTCCTGTGTCAAACCATTAGTACTTCTTCAGATTGAATCCATCCTGGCACTGTAGGTTTCAGGAAGCACTGGGAACAGTTATGGAATTTTTGGATGGAGTCAGTGATGCATCTTTGCTTGGATGACCATCTCCATTTTGATCGCCAGCCCTGGAGACCCAGTCTCCAGGGGACAGGTGAGGCCAGGAAACCGTGCCAATAGCTAAAGGAAGAGCAGAATTAGATGCTGAAAAAGGGAGAAGGGAAGTGAGGAAGTTTCCCCGAGTCAAGCAAATAGCAGTCTGCTTTGGTAAGTTCAGTTCACAGCCTTAGAAAAACTGAAGCTTCCAGATATTGTGGAATACTTATTGTTTTTGAGCTTTAATGATAGATCTGTATATCTTGATACAAATGTACTGACATTTTCTTTTGAGGATTGATCTCAGTCTTCAGAAGACTTCCAAGTTGAGATCAGGAGGGCTTTTATGGATTCAGTCTAGGGTAAGACCAACTGCACGAGGCTTATTTTAAAAATCTAGAAACACAGGATGCCTCACACCAGACCAAACCAATGTTCCAGCCAGCATGGTGTCCTAGCTAGAACAGCTGCCAGTGCTAGATGCTTCCGTTAAAGATGCAAGAAGTCCTAACATGGAGAGTTTCCTAGAGTGACAAGGTGGATGAGGTAATTTTGTATTGGACCAATTTCTGTTGGTGAGCGAGACAGTCATTTGAGCACCACACAGAGCTCTTCTTCAGGCTTGGGAAAGGTACTCCCAGTGTCACAGCTAAATGCAAAGTGGAACAGATAGCACATATTCTAAGGGGCCATTCAAGGCCTGTTAACACTCCTGTAGCCATAGGACAAAAAGGGGAGGGCTAGTGGGTTACAGATTGTTATAATCGATAAATCCAGTGTCCTTATTAAAACCATGATTAGTGGCCAGCAAAGTTAGGAATTTAAGCTCCCAGGCTCATCTTTTGAAAATGTTGTGCAGGTTTCCTTTGAGGATGAGGACCGAAAGGACAGATGTAGCGCAATTGCTTTATGAAAAGTATTCACCCACAGGTGATATGGTGTTTTTCTCTTTTATCATTTTCCTGTGAGAGTTCGAGAGCGTAGTGATTGTCTCTCTTGTTTCAGCCACATACTTGTTGTTGAGGCATTTATGCATTGGATGAGGTAAACCACATGTTGAGATAGACACGTGTGGGACCGCTAGATCTTGAAATGTGTATTGTGAGGGTCTAAGACAGGAGCTGGGCTGGAACAAGTTGGGAGGAGGAGCTATACAGCAATGGGTAAATGCTTTGAACCATCACTGAACTGCTGCTGTTGCTGAGCTTAAGAGCTGGTAAATTGACTTCCCACTAACCAGGCAGCATACTACAGGCCAGCTGTGCTTGTTAGGTTGCCCATAGACTGGCTCTGCTGCCAACCCTGCTTCCAGACAGGTTGTCTTAGCCCCAGAGAAGTGAATTAGTAACCCCACTGTGTTTTTTATTCTAGTACAACTGTGGAGGTGTATAGTATAGTTTATCCATGTGACTAATCCTTTTTTGGATCCTGCAATATTAAGCTTTATGGCTTTGGTACATTGTGGCCATGAGTTCCACAGGACACTTGTGTTAAGTAGTATTTATAATTTTTAATTATGTTGCCTTTCAGTTTTGTTTGGTGATGCCTCCCCCCATTTGAGAGCTTATGCTGACTTTTTATAAGCATAACTGATAATATTTGCTCTATACTGGAGCTGGGCAAAGTATCACAAGGAAAGTTACCCTCAGAAAGTGTGGTTTTGCCAAATTTCAGATTTTCCCCACACAGGAAAGTGTCATGTGAAGGGTTGTTTTTTTTTTTTTTTTGGACTGGAAGAACTGAAGAAAAATCTGGTTTATGCGTTAAACAAAACAACCTGTCCACACCAGCGCTTAAGTCGGCATAAGTGATGTTACTTGGGGTGTGGGTGGTCGCTAATTCACACTCCTGAGCGACATACTTTATGTTGATTTAGGCTATTGCTACTCTACATCTTAACTGTTCTTCTAGGGACATTACTTCCATGAGAGGAGATATTGAAAAGATTAGGAATGCTTTCTTTAGAGACGAGACATGGTAGATGTGTCTAAAACAAGACATGGTATAGTGGTGTAGCTGCGCCGCTGTAAGATTGCTAGTATAGTCATAGCCTTAGTCTCTGAACTACCATAGTTGTGGAGATACAGCAATCAGAATCCATAGTGGACAGTGGCAGATGATGAAAGCTGTATAATCTCACTCTTTGCCTCCTGAAACAGAGGTTGGCTTTTTTTTGACCCCTACTATACAAAGAGTAGGCAACTCAATGAAAGCATCTCCTTCCCTACCAGAAGCTAATTTAGAACTCATTATGAGTAGTTCAGGTTATGCCTATCAGTGAAGGTAACAGATGAATTGCCAAGTAATCATGCTACCCATTAACCTAGTTTAGTTTTGGCCCTTCTATCCTCCATGCATCCCATTTTCCACATCAGTAGTAGGCCCCGTATTTAATCTAGTACAAGTCTTTATGAGATGGCAAAAGGCTAATAACTCGCCACA